AGCTTATATAATGCTTTTTTAGGTCCTTCTAAATTTCAACCCTATAAAATCATATTTTAATTTTAATTTTAATTTATTTTTGTTTAATATTTTTTGGATGACTAATTCAAACCGGTCCTGACTCGATCCAAATTGCTAATTCAACGATCCACCCATGTATATGGGTTTTTAAATATCGGCTTGTACTTTTGGCCTAATTCATTTTTATGCAATCTAGCCTGTGTATGTTTTTTTTTTGGCATTGTGGGCATATGAAAATGTTCCATATGAAAATATTTATACAATGCATCAGCCCAATCACATAAAGCGATATGCATCTTAAAAACCCACCTGAAAAGGTTGTTTAAAGGTTGGAAAACTTTTAAATTGGTCATCTTGATCTCACGATGTGTGGATATGACGAGCAAAATAAAATTTAAAATATGCCCGACCAGATTGAATTTGAGCTATTGGCACTTTAGAATTTTTGTAAAATAATTTTGGGCAGGCCAACAGTCTCAAAAACGTCGGTAGAATCCATTTAACATATCACATTTGGTATATGGGATGGTATACATCGCCCACATCATTTGACTATCAAACGGTGCACATGCACCATTAAAGATCAAATGGTGCACATGCACCATTAAAGGGTTGAGATAAAGGGAAACACATAGATCGCCACTACTCAGTATTTTAATTTATTTATTTTACTAATTCATTCATGTAAAAACTTGAATGCGTTTACACCCACAGCTAGGTGCACCTAAGACAAATATATAATTTTTTTTAAAAAAATAAAAGAACTAAAATATCCCTGAAGCTTTCATGATATCTTGGTCAATTTATGTTTTTACAAAATATATTTTTTGTTTTTTTTTTAAATTTAACAAAGTACCATAAGATATTAACTATTCAACATTCTACCCTTTTACAACAATTCGAATTCAAGATCATGTGCTATTAGTGGGTATTTTTAAAGTAGATCATAAGGTGTTAAATGTTTCATCTTTAATGGTTAATTTGAGAAGTTTCGCTTCTTTTTTTTATTTTTTATTTCCATAGACATGCCTTATTTTTTGGATTTATGAGTCGTCTTCCCAAACTCTTCCTTAGCACTAAGGGAATGTTTGATGCGCGGATTTGTGAGAGTGGTATGCTTTTCTCCCACAAAGTCGGATTTATGGGTTCGAGCCGCACGGTGGGCGAATCAAACATTTTGTTTGATCATTCAAGTAGCGCACTAGGTAGTGCATATTTGTTGTTCATTATGGTCAGGGTCTGAATCCCTCCATAACCATTGCTTTTGAGAAAGGGGTTGGGGTCGACGCCTATGCCCTAGTCACCACATCGTGGTTTTCATTTTCATAAACACCACACCATGATCCTAAAATAAAAAAACCAACTCCTAAGCTATTTGAGAAAATGGGTAGTATACATTTTCTTCGGGAATATATGACAGAGACAGAGTGAGAGAGTTCACATCATACTGCTCATGGAAAATGTGATAACGATGATATAGAGAGATGCATAGATCAATGACTTCGAATAAAAGTATATTCATTTTATATTTTTGGGTCTTGTATTCTCCTGCTCATGAAGCCTTCTGTGAGGTTTTAAGCACAAGAGGGAAGCTCCATTTTAGTTATGTTTAGCCAAGGGTTTTGACATCCAACTAGTAATCCTTTCTCGGTATTTATCAATTCTTTTCGAATAGTTATGTTATTTACTCTTTTGCCAGCTTATATCATCAAATTTAGGAATACATGAGCTTATCTGATGTGATTGTAAGGATGGTAATCCACGACAGTCCAAAAAACTTGGGTTTCAGCCTGTTGGCTCATGTTTTGTCATTGATTTGATGTTTTTCATTAACATCATTTTGGGTTTATACATTTTCTTTTCATTCCCCTAAATTATTACTTCGTCAATTCTTCTTCATATCGTGAACCAAGAGTGGCTTTTCTTATCGTTATATCGTGAACCAAGGGTGGTTTTTCTTATCAGAAATAACAGGTTACTGGACCTTTATTACATTTGGCCCCAAAGTCCTCAAAGTTCGAATCTGCAGGTTAACATAAAACTGTAAATCATTATAGTCTTGTTTATCTGAATTAATAGAATATGGTTTTGTTTATCTAAATTAATTGATATACAGTAGTGGAGTTTTAAACACTGAGTAGGCTTCAAGGCTTCACTTCGTAACTCCAAGTTGATGTTATACCAGACAAGAAAAAGTTCGGTAAGAGATGAAATATTACAGAATTTTCTGATGGCATCTTATTGGGAAATTCTGATGGTCTATGACATTTAATTGAAGAACCTGAGGGCAATGCTCCTTCACTTCAAGATTACAATAATACCATTTTCTTTTCCTCCTTTATCTAAGATTTTAAGAATTTGGCAACTAAAGAATCCACCTGATTTTTCATAGGCACAGCCTAAGCAAAGCGTTAAAATCTTCATGATAATCCAATGGCTTGATTTATTTGTGTGGCTTTACCGTTGAAACTAAAACTATGGTTGTATATGGATTGGAACAGTGGTCAGTTTGTAATGAAGCTGGTCAATTACTTGGTCAGAAAATCACTGTGGAAGTGTCAAGCCATGATGCTTTTGGGGATGGTTTTGCTGCCTAAACTAAATAACCATCGTAAGGTATACTCTCTGCATTTCAGGCTATGTATCATTTGAGAGCAATCTAATAAGAAGATTGGGCTCTTGGGCTTTCTCTTGACTTACTCTCTCTGGAAGAATAATAGATGGTATCAGCGTGCTGGCTCAAGTACCCCAAATGCCCTAAAATTCATTTATTCTAGTCATGAAGTTCCAAACTGCATGAGGATTGGGTATTGGTTAGCACTGGGCCTTTTAAAACTCCCTAATCTACTAGCTGTCACCATTAAAATTGGATCCAACCTCTTTTCATCCTATTATTATGGAATATAAAACTGTGGGAACACAGTTGAATTACGGCTTTGCCAAAGTCATGCGACAGTCATTGAAAAGTTAAGGTGTCTAGGCCAAACTTTGAATTTGAAACAAGGAAATTCCGGAGTTATGTCCAAGCCATTGCGAAAGCTGACAGTCTAAAACACGTATTTATATAAAGCCCAACTAATTCACAGATGAGACCAAAGCTGAAACTCATAATTCTGATATTCAAATATTTATATAAAACCCAACTAATTCACAGATGAGACCAATGCTTGAGTTGAGGCCGAGGCTAAACTAGAGTCATCTCCTCAAGAAGAGATGTTCTGGAAGGAACACGTGGTGGATACTCAAATCGTAGGGGAAGGTCACCAGAATGCAATCCTCTTTTCTGTATCATTAATATTTTGAAAAGCTTGGAGCTTGATTTAGAAGCCAACTGTTAATGGTGCGTTACTCTTAGATGAATATTTTAGTGGATGAAATATGTTATTTTTTCTTTTTCATCTGAGTTATTTTCCACTTTAGACTTCCATTAGTATTCCTGAACAAGACCAACTAATTATGGATGGAGAGATTCTTTACACCATGGAGAGTCCACTTGCTGATTGTGGCTTGGGGTTAGAGGAATTTGCAGGGGGCTCCCTGATAGCAGGAAGATAATTAAAGGAGAGACTCATTGCCTTGAAGGAGCAGCGTGATGGTGTTTAGAGATTCATTGTCTTGAAGGAGCAGTGTGAGGAGCATCGTACACTCCAAAGGCAATTCAGGGAGGGACTGTAACCGTACACTCCAAAGGCAATTCAAATTCAGGGAGGGACTGTAGTTCATTGCCCAGGCAATTCAGGGGGACTGACAGTTATTCATAGTTCGCAATTCAGGGAGGGACTGTAGTTCATTGCTCATCGAAATTCGCTTTGCATTTAACCACCCCAGGCAATTCAGTGGGAGGGAGGCAATTCAGGGGGAGGGACTGTAGTTCATTTATCAGGCAATTCAGGGAGAGACCGCAGTTCACTGTAGTTCATTGCTCATCAATGAAATTCGCTTTGCATTTAACCACTCTAGGTTGCTCATTGCTAAGGCAATTCAGGGGGAGGGACTGTAGTTCATTTATCAGGCAATTCAGGGAGAGACAGTAGTTCATTGCTCATCAATGAAATTTGCTTTGCATTTAACCACTCTAGGCAATTCAGGGAGGGTAGGGCAATTCAGGGAGGGCCGGTACTATAGTTTATTGCTCAGGCAATTCAAGGGGAGGGACTGTGGTTCATTTATCAGGCAATTCTGGGAGGGACTGTACTTCATTGCTCAGGCAAGGGGAAGGGACGAGGGCAATTCAGGGAGGGACTGTACTTCATTGCTCAGGCAAGGGGGAGGGACGAGGGCAATTCAGGGAGGGACTGTACTTCATTGCTCAGGCAAGGGGGAGGGACGAGGTACTCTAGTTTATTGCTCATCAATGAAGGGACTGTAATTCATTTATCAGGCAATACAGGGAGGGACTGTACTTCATTGCTCAGGCAAGGGGGGGAGGGACGAGGGACTCTAGTTTATTGATCATCAATGAAGTTCGCTATGCATTCAGGGTGGGACTGTACTTCATTGCTCAGGCAAGGGGGAGGGACGAGAAACTCCAGTTTATTGCTCATCAATGAAATTCGCTTTGCATTTAACCACTCCATAGCGTCAATTCTGGCTCATCAATGAAATTCTCTTTGCATTTAGCTATGGAAACCACTCCATAACGTCAATTCAGGAAGGGACTGTAGTTCATTGCTCATTGAACGCAACCACTCCATAGCGTCAATTCAGGAAGGGACTGTAGTTCATTGCTCATTGAACGAAACCACTCCATAGCGTCATGGCATCAATTCAGGACTCAATAGCATCATAGCATCAATTCAGGGAGGGACCGAAGTTCATTGCTCATTGCTTTAAATTCGCTTTGCATTTGCATTTAACCACTCCGATTCGCTTTGCATTTTTGCTCATCAATGAAATTCGCTTTACATTTAACCACTCCATAGTGCTCATCAATGAAATTCGCTTTACATTTAACCACTCCATAGCGTCAATTCAGGAAATTCAGGAAGGGACTGTAGTTCATTGCTCATTGCTCTCAATGAAATTCGCTTTACATTTAACCACTCCATAGTGCTCATCAATGAAATTCGCTTTACATTTAACCACTCCATAGCGTCAATTCAGGAAATGATTGTAGTTCATTGCTCATTGCTCGAAATAAGTCAATTCAGGAAGGGACTGTAGTTCATTGATCATTGCTCGTTGCTCGAAATAAGTCAATTCAGGAAGGGACTGTAGTTCATTGCTCATTGCTCATTGCTCGAAATAAGTCAATTCAGGAAGGGACCGTAGTACATTGCTCATTGCTCGAAATAAGTCAATTCAGGAAGTTGCTCATTGCACGAAATAAGTCAATTCAAGAAGGGATTGTAGTTCATTGCTCATTGAACGAAATAAGTCAATTCAAGAAGGGGCTTATTGCTCGAAATAAGTCATTTCAGGAAGGGACTGTAGTTCATTGCTCGAAATGCATCAATTCTGCTTGAAATGCATCAATTCAAGGAGGGACCGTAGTTCATTGCTCATTGCTCGAAATACGCTTTGCATTTAACCATTCCGATTCGCTTTGCATTTAACCACTCCATAGTATCAATTCAATCACTTTGCATTTAACCATAGTGTCAATTGAGTCGCTTTGACTTTAACCACTTCGATTCGCTTTGCATTTAAGCATTCCATAAGAATTCCGAGAGGGAATGTAGTTCATTGCTCATTGAATATTCGCTTTGCATTTAACCACTCCGAGTATGACAATATAACAATATAAAGACACAGAGATTCATACGAGGGAGAGATTCAATCTCTGTGCCGCCCTTGAGCTGCAATATAAAGAACTATAATATACAATATTTAGAAAAAAACAGACACAAACTTTTAATAAAAATTGTGCCGTGTCTAAAATGCATCGGTAAATACATATTAGTCTTAACTGCAATATAAAAAAAAAACAGAACATAAACATAATATCTTACCTACGAGCTTGCAGTAAATATCATGTCATCAGTACATACATATCAGTCTTAACTGCAGCATAAAAAAGAAACAGAACATAAACATAATATCATCAGTACATACATATCAGTCTTAACTGCAATATAAAAAAGAAACATAATATCTTACCTACGAGCTTGCAATAAATATCATGTCTCAAAACCTGGATTGCTTTTATAGTAGTTGTTCTTCCCTTCCCGACGCCACGCATGCCATATATTCCGAAGACCGGAGAACATTTGTGTTCGCTTGAACAGTGCATTGGCCTGGCTTTTATCTCTCTCACATACTCTGGAGTAGGTGATTTTTCCATGTCGAACTCTGATACGAACCTGCCATTTACCTCTAACTCAAACTTCTTGACGCTCTTGCCCTTGATCTTTGGCCCACTTGCCATTGATCTCTCTAACTCTGTGATTTCGCCATGTCGGCTACGAGCAACGTGACCAATCCCCTGCATATACTCCTCTTCTGTCTCGCTTTTGTTTGGATTCCATCTACTGCCTCCTCTCTCTTTGCTCTCTTCTGTCCATCCGCTTTTGTTTGTATTTCATCTACTGCCTCCTCTCTCTGCTGCTTCTGAAGAGCTCTTCTCATTAACCCTTCAGGGTTGGACCTTCTCATTAACCCTCCTGCCCTTCAGCATTCCTGTTGCGGTTTTCAGGGTTGGACAGAAGAAGGTATCCATATCTCATAGAGAGACCGCTGTAGTTTATAAGGCGGCGCAATAGATAAGGTAGCCGGTTTCTATGCGGCCAGCCCGCGTAGTGTAGAAATGCGGGCTTGGAAAAAATTTTGAAAATTAAAAATTATAAATAAGAATAATGATTACCGGATCTAAAATAAAAAAACATTTGAACCGTTATGGACCATCTTTATGCATCTATCTTTAAGATGGATGCTTTACGCCTTTAGACTGTCCAGGAAACAATTTTCCATAGTTACAATATCTAACTCTCCTATTTCTAGGGCATACGACTGCCCTAGCTTAGAATCTATTCGTTACTATGGTTGGTCCAACGTTCCAAGGAACCAATACATTTAAAAAAAAACATAGGGGCCAGTGTGATTTAAGAAACATAATTTCAATTACATTAACAAAAAAAAATAAAAAGGTAAAATATGGGTGCATGGAACATAATAGAAATAAAATGGTTCAATATTGTATCCATTAAACTGCCCCACAAATGCTAAAAAAATAAATAAATAAATAAACCGGTTCCATGTTTCAAAGAACTAGTTGTAAACCTATAATAACAACAACAAAAAAAAATCTCACCATATAATTTGTGAAAATATGGATCAAAGAATAATTCCTTAAATCCCACCTATACAAATTTCCTTTATTTTTTTTCAAAAATATGGCAACCGTTATAATTATCCATTTTAAGAAGAAGAATTATTATAACAGGAGACATTGTTAAAGTTGGTACTATTATTTTATGTACCCTGCACATGTCCACTTGATGATATTTTCTTGGGTTGCTTAATAAATTATGGGACCAATGCAACTATCCATGTGAACCCATTCATTAAGTTTTTGCTTGTCTTGTCATAAAATAAAATAAAGGTGTGAGTGAAACAGGGCTATAAAAGTATTTTTTATAAATTAAAGTTCATGGAAATTGTTTTTTTTGACAAGGTTATATAAGAAGGGAAAAATTTATATAGAGCCGAGGCTCTAAACAATCAAGCTAGAGCCTACTTCAAAATTTTCACTAAAAAGGATTGTTTTGATGCTCAAATATCTTCAAATTGATCATCTCAACATCAAGATGCATGGACATGAGAAAAAACTAGATTTCAAGTTTTGGAAATAGTTTATTTTGTAATACATTTTTGGACTGTTAATTTTTAAGATTTTTAAACTTTCACAGAATTGTCGATCTACACTATTTTTGAAACTTTAAACTAGATTTTCAAGGTTTCATAGACCTGTCGATCTACATTATTTTTGAAGCTTTAAGCTTTATAAATAATATAAAAATATATTTTAAGACCGTCACAAAGATTTCCATTTGATAGGTTTTAATTTGATTGTATAAAATGAAACTTAAAACGTTGTGCTATGAAAACCTAACTCCACTGACTTGACACTGCGGCCTTGGTGCCAGTACTGTAGTCGTAAAAAAAGAAGTCCTCTTATTTTCTGGAATGCTAAAGCGCTATCTCAAGATAATGGTTGCTTTATACTTGTTTCCCCTATAATGAGTACAGTTAGTGTGTATAAGCCAAATTTGATCTCAGATACCTAAAACTAGAAGGTTAATTCTTATCTCACATGTCCAATGGGCTAGAACAACGAGATCTATATGCACCATGGTTGCTTCAGTTTAGGAGAGAGAAAGTAAGCAAGCAAGAGAGAAAATGGGTGGAATTTTTTTTTTTTTTGGTAGTTCAATGGGGAAGGTCTTTGCCCGTTTTTCAATTAGTTTAGAAGTTAGTTTTTTTTTTTTTTAAGTGTTATTGTAGCAGTGTTAGTGAGAATAGAAACCACAATATGAAAACCGAATAAAATTTATTTGCAATATAAAATAAAAATAAATTCTTAAATTCATTTCTTTTGCTTGCGAATTTTTTTTTTCAAGGAATACAGTCGGTCAAATTAAAATGAGAGACCGGCAGTAAGATCTCCTTACAAGAAACTTAGAAATAAGTTTTTCATGGATTATAGAGGATTAGGTTAAAAAAAAGGGAAAATAACATATATGACATAATTACTGTGAAATTTCCGTTATTATATGCATACCCATTTTTTTAACTTCATAACATTAAAAAAAAAAAAAGATGGAAGTGCCCTTTTCAATTTTTGAAAACCGAATTGGGTTATTTTTAGGTTTTTCAAAAACCGAAAAGGTAAGCCTTTTCGGTTTTTGAAAAATCGAAAAGTAACCCAATTTGGTTTTTCAAAAATCGAAATTGGGTTTCATCAATAGTAACCTAATTCTAATCTATCTTTTAAAAAACCTAAAATACGACATTTTTGGTTATTTCAAAAACTGAAAATCTCTTTCTAGTAAATTGTTTAGTAAGTTACTAAAAAATGAAAGATAATTTTTGGTTTTTTGAAAAACCAAAAATATCTAATTTTTGGTTTTTGGATAACCGAAAACACGACATTTCATTTTTTTCAAAAAACTGAAATTCAGTTAAATTACTGGAAAATGAAAGATAATTTTACATTTTTGAAAAATCGCAAATATCCCATTTTCAATTTTTTATAAAGTTGACAAAATGAATATGCATGTAATAACAAAGCATCACAGTAATTCCGTAATAACACTAAATATAACGGATATATACATTATTTTCTTCAGAGAAAATTTTATTTCCCATTTTCAAATAAATGTAAGACTTGAAATTTAAAAAATTTTTTATTTTTGTTGAAATATTATTTTTGGAAAAATGAATGCCCTTTATATTTTGTGAAATAATTTTATACTGCTCATTATCTATTAATTATATTTTAATAGCCAGTAAATGTTTATGTAAGGCATCAACTTTGTACTATAAAAGTAAAGGTACCTCAAGATGTATAGAAATGAAACAATAAAGTATTGTAAGTCCTAATGCATGTTATAACATATTTTTTTGATCATCCATTTGCAATATTTTAAGTGTTCATAGATTTACTCATCTATACCATTTTTAAAACTTTCAATTTCATAGGCATTGAATCTTCGATTAGGATTCAGATGTGCATTTTATAAATTAAGGTTGATATAATAAATAAAGAATGCACTTTCTATAAGGATTGTCTATAATGTAACTATTTATCTCTTATACATGAAAATCACTATATATTCGCTAATTAGTTGAGAATGATTAACTTCTCCAAATAAATTTCATCATCATCTGAAATTTTTTTCCAACTATTTGTGATCAGTTAAACAAATCCTGATCTACGATTCTGCTATATCAAAAGTCATACCATAAGTCCCCATATCTTTTTTCATTACTCCCAATCTTGTCTTTTGACACCTACCCCTTGCTCTTTTTGAGCCTTCACTAATTCAAATGATAAACTAATCCACTCAAAGAATGTACATTTCCACAATGAAGGACCAAAAAACCCTAATTCAATCAAACTCCACGTACATTTCCATGGAGCACTTAAGAATAAAAACTGTGTGTGTGTGTATGTGTGGGGATTTAATGGGCACCAGCAACAGCAGCAAGAGGTTGGGATCCAACCACAGCATGATAACAGCGCCAACAAAGCGTAGGATGATCCATAAATGAACCGACCTGTGGAGTGTAATTCCAGCACCTCTCACATTTTTCTCCTCCTGCACGTGATACGCCAATCCAAATTTTGTGCTTCCCTTCAAAATCAAACTCTCCCGTGTAAGGAATATTGGCAATTATGTCATCATCTAATGAGGACAGAACTTCAGCCTGAAATGGTCATCACTAAAAGTCAGGCCATCTAACATATGAACACTTAGCATTGAAAACGTTAAAACTAGAGAGAAAATACTGCACTTTCCTGGGATGTTATAAATATCCGATGCAACCTATCTGCGTCACAGCTAGCAAAGCACATATTATACAATTTCGACGCCATGCCTTCATGGGATGTATAAAAATAAACCTTTGCATCTAAGCTTGATCCTATTGCCTTTGCAACACGAGCAGTCTCCAAAACTTTATTCACCTCTCCTCTTAACTGGTCACAAATGGATGGATTTAAGATGATAGAAAGTGTATTGAAAAATAAAAAGAGAGTATATTTTGTCCACAAAACAAACAACACACACACGTGCTCACAAATGCTTTTCATTATCACATTGCATCACAGCCATCGTTTCCAAGCATCTATGGCAGCATTGAACAGGTTTTATATTACTCAATATTATGAAGTCATGAGTGACACCCCCTCGCTAAAATAAAAGTTGCAATCATCGGATCTCCTTGTGTGGGTTGTTGCAGCCTTTCATAATCTCTTTGAATAATCTCCTAAACCGGAACAGATAGGCAGGCAGTTTCAGAAGGGTTGTAAACTTAGTGGTCACATCTGGAAACAGGAACTAGGTGAAGAGGCTAATGCGAACTCAACACTTCATTTCTGATGATATGTTACATTATTTCATTAAAATGTAACCAGAATAATATTTTTAGAAGAAACCATTTTTTTGGTCCGTTTGGTATCCATTTTAAATTTTCATCGTTAATAATTTTTGTTACATTTACGTTTGGAAAAGAAGTAAGCTACGAGGGCTGGAGAAGAAGTAAGACCTAGAACTAGATCGCAAGGAGGAGAATGGGGTCCAGTTCAACATCAGTTCTAGAGGTCGAGGAGTAGGATGTTAACTCAGAGGAAACTAAGGAGGAAGAATCATATGTCGAGGGATACAATAATAGTGATGATGATGCCTCTACATCCTCGACTTCGAATGTGGGAGATGCACATGCACATGATGTATCATCATATGACTTGTCTAATTGAGAGTTGATAGTTGATAGACTTAGAGACATTGAATGTACTGATTTTTCTTTTATTTTGTATGTCATAAGCTTTTGGCCCTTGGAGTTTAGGTTTAGGAGTTTGGATGTTATGTAACATGTACAAGTGATAGTGAAGTACTTTTTTCTCATTGGATGTTACGACTATTTGGCATTTCATGCTTTGACTTTATTTATTTAATTTAATGAATGAGATGGAACTGATTATTTCATTTTACATTTACTTGTATTACACCAGTAGATAATAGAGAACAAATTTTGTTACTCTTTATCAGCTTATCAAGTGACTTAGAAAGCCAATGTATCACAGATAACTACATACATTTATGCTTTTCCTATGCATTCTAATATTTTTATGAGGTTCTAAAATTCTCAAAATTTATTGAATGCATTGGAGGTGATGCACCCACATCGAGACCCATATAACCCACAGAGCATCGAACCCCCAACTGCATTGAGCCTGCATCCAGCATTTGATAACACTAAACAACCCAAAAAGATAACAGACTGACACCTGTATGCCTGTTCATTCCATACAGAAAGAGGCTATAAAAAATTCATGCTCCTTCAACTGTCTGATAGCCACAATAGAACATGCAGTTTTAGAAATGGTACTCCCCATGAGTGATTTAGACGCTTGTCTATAGAAACCGGTGGTGAATTTGTAATTTGTTCTAAATCAGTATTAGTTTGTTCACAGCATATTGGCTGTGAACAAAAAATCCAAATGGAACACATAATAGATTCACAGGTTAAAGATTTTGCAGTAAAACAAGATGAGGAACAGCAGAAATATCAATGAAAATATCAGTCAGTAAGATATTAAAGAATAAAAAATTACCTCAAGTAATTTTCCCCAGTAATCAACCTCCTCAGCTGGTATACCCAGCCACTGTTTATTAAGATCCGGCCAACGTGACTCAAAAACAAATTCGGCAATGGAACCATCTTGCAACATATGCTGAAAAGGCAGGTGTTGCCATACATCTTCAGCCAAATGTGGTAATATTGGAGCAATCACCCTAACAATACAGAGGAGATGTGCTGCAAGGACGGTTTGACAACTTCTTCGGTTTAGACTTGTTGTACCCCTATATCACTAACCAATCAGTAAGAACAAAACCACTGCTGAAAAACACGTATAGATGTTTATGAAGACTTTGTTACTACAAATTTAATAGTAAATGAAATATCGTAACAGGAAAGTTTGACACTGTCGATCATATTAGGGAACAGCATTTCCAGATCAACTACTTTTGTCCACCAAAACTCAAAAGAAACATTATAATCACCAAATAGGCATCAAATAGGTACCTTCTGCGAAGAGTTATATATGATTGACAAAAAGAAGATTACAATCAGAAAACATGAAATGAAAATAATCAAAAATTACTTCCCTACAGGAGTTATGTGATTAACTAGAATAAGGTCATTGTACATTACATTAAAAGAATGCTGGCATTGTAAGAGCAATTTGTACATAGTAATATGTTCAGGGCAGTGTTACATAGATACCGCCACAGGTGCCATGTATAGTAAGTCTCAAGTATCTAGGACTTCAGCCTAAAAACTAGACACAGCCCGACATGTCCGTAGAAGTAAATTTTCATTAGAATTTTCAAAAATAAAATAAATGTTGCCTGATAAAATTGTAAAATATCAATTTTTATATATCCCACCCCTAAATGATATTTTGGCATATCCTCTAACAAACATGAGATAGTATATATGATAACATATATTTGACCATATTCCATGGTTTTGTCAAAAGAGATACTTAGTGAATAGTACTATAGATAACTAGCATATTTACAATTCAATTTTTGTTCTCAATTAGTTACCTTTGACTTTTTTGGTAACTACGTGGTTTATTGTAAGTGGCTCACAAATCCTAGATAGAATACTTAAAAGTAAAAGGAAAAACTATAAACAAAAATATCATGTATTATGTTCAATGTACATATATGCGTTTTTTTTTTTATTGTATTGTTAAGTAATAACTGCTAGCTTAATATTTAAAATTATTACATATAAATATGATAGGATTATCATTTTTAACTGAAGTATAAAATTTAAAATATTTCTTTAGGAATAAATAAGTAAATCGTCGTTTAATTTTTTCAGCCATAGTTCATTGATAATTTTCTAGTTTATTATTTTGCCCAAAACAATCCCTTTTGTTTTTGCCTTCAAAATATAATAAGTGCGTCAATATTTAATCATACAAGCTTAAATAGCACAGTGATAGACTTTACTTTTTTTACCTCCAAAGGTAAGGACCAATCTTGGTAGAGACATTTTTGGTTCCCAAGACAAGACAACGCATTTTTTAAATATAGACACTCCTTGGAAAGTGTTTAATACTTCAAAATTCAAACACTCTTGTCATTTTACCCGACATGTACGAAGAAAGTTTGCAGCCTGTTTCGTGGAGTGTCAGACTGTCCGTAGGTGAACAGGAAAAGTATCTAGGTAACATAGGTTCAGGGTGCCTATTAACATTTAAGCCGGTCTCTTCAACCAAAACATAGTGTGAATGACATGCAGTCTGCAGTTGCAGAACTCAAGAACCTATAATACATGAGTTAGTTCCAATTTGCGTTAGCTCCAATTTGCGATGTTACACCTTTAGCATGTTACTTTTGCGTAAGAAAAAAAAAAACAGAGTGAATTTCATTACATGCATACAACGTTTATAAATCAAATGGTGAGAATTATAATATTTTATGGAATGGACTGAGACATGAGATTACCACCAACTTCCATCAATGATAAACCCATGCCTTTCTCTTCTCAAAACCAGAAAAGCCGAAGTTAGCTACAGTCAACTAAGTTTGTCTTAATTAGATCCAAGATGATAATAACCCTACAGTTGCATAGATAACTACTACAGTTGCATAGATAACTAAAGTTTGTCTTAATTAGATCAAAAGAAAATTGCATAGATAACTACTACAGTTGCGAGATTATAGCGAAATAAAAAGAATACCTATTCCTAAAATCTTAAATGGCAGAATTCCTTACCCAACGTAAAGTCTATCTTTGGCAACGTCAAAGTAGAAATTTGATAAATCTACAATTGCGAAGCGTTGCACAATCTGTAATCAGCCAAACAACAAGCAACCACTCACGGTTCTTTATCACAAATAAATTCGCAAAACAAAGATGGGGTGAACTTTTGCATAACTTGCAATAGAGCAAGTAAGATCTTACTTGTAACACAATGCTTGACTACCAAATTTACAAAAATCGGATTCCACTTCTCAAGGGAATAAATGAATGCAACAATGCAATACAACACAAAATAAGATCTCATTAGGTGAAGGAAAATGAATGTGATGTGAGCCTCCACTGCTATGACCCCTGGCCACAGATGGCGTACAGGGTGCATCCATGAAATAGAAAGTGGGGCATGGAAGAAGAGTAGGGTAGATTGGAAACTAGAAGGGAAGGAATGGATGATATAATAGGCTTTTGAAGGCGTAGAGGAGGAATAGCCATGGAAGTTTTTGGAGAAGTGTGAGGAAATGGACAGGAAACTCTATATCTTACATGTCGAGAAGGAGCAAGCAAAAGGGAAGTAGAGGCTAGAAAACAGGTCCCATTGCAATGTTAGTGCTGCTGCTGAGGAAACAAAGTGAGGATGTGTCAAGGTAAATGCCAAACGTGGGAATTCTTTATTTTGGTGAAAGGACAGAGGGGAGAATGTTGGCATGAAGGATAATTATTTTAGCTAGGGTACTTGATAAGGGTATGGAGGAAATCTTGCAAAGGAAAAGTGACGTTGAGGAAGGATGTCAAAAAATGCTATAGGCACCACAACTAAAATGTTTAATGAGTAGCACACTTTGGGCAAAAACAGAAGGTTTTATAAAGTCGCACCCATAAAGGAGTGTGGTTTTCTTACTATTTAAGCACAAACCTCTTCATAAATGAAGAGTACCTGGAAAATCTTGCAGAACTGATAAGTTTCATAGTGGTCTTTGATGCTGTTTACCACAGTTCCCAGATGGAATAATGCATGCTTGTCAATCATTGGAAGTTCACTATAACCAACAGAAGCCTCAGGCTACAAAAAGACACAGAGAATGGTAAGCATGTCTTAACTGTTTACACGATAATCACATAGAGAACCAAAAAATGTACACTCTAAATATTTAGAACAACTAAAACTATCATGACAACTAAGGAAACCGTACCATAATGTATTCATACAAACATGACTTTGCACTATATAGGGATCCTAGAGGCTTTTCACAGGTAGCTAAATGGATCCAAACACAGACAACAATTATGAGAAATAAAGTGAGAGAACTGTAGCATTAGTCTTTCCAATCTATCAATTTTCCACTTCCTACAATTTCACTTGTACCAAGAAAACAGATAAAATAAGTAGACAACCTGAACGTACTTTCCAATCATGCAGATTAGCCAAGAGATATCGCAAAGTTCCTCGAAGCTTTCTATATATATCTGACATCTGACGAAGAATTTGAGACCCTATCAACACGTCACCAGAATAATCTACACTTGATACCCAAAGGCGCAAGGCATCTGCTCCATATCCAGGTGCATCCTGTCAAAAGGAAAAATCCACACGTCAACCATAAAAAATAATAATAAGAATCCTTTACATCAAGAGAAATCAGATCAAACCTTGGGATTCTTCCCTCCTTCGATAACAGTTCTCGGGTCCACAACATTCCCCATGGATTTACTCATCTTAAGACCCTTCTCATCTAGTACAAAACCATGTGTTAAAACACTTCGGTAGGGAGCCTTTCCTGCACAAAGAAACTATTTGTTTGATGATTCATACCAAAACATTGAACTATCATAAGCTCCACCTGATAAAGAGCCATAAATGAAAGAAAAGTCTGAAAACATAATAATCAGCAACTGTAAACTAGGTGAAAGACCCAAAAAACAGACATTTGAAACAAAGTTTTGAATCGAAAACCCAATGGAGAAAATCCAAATTTTCTATTTCATCCCTGATTCAATTAAAAGTGTCATTGATTCTTTCATATTAACATGCTTTGAAACCCATAGTGATTCTTTGTGGCATTAAACTTAGGACTCTTCCAAGTCAACTGGGTAGTACACTCTTCCAAGTCAACTGAGCCACTACCCAGCTCTTAAACATAAGATATCTAGGGATAGAATTCAATTATTTTATTGTTCTTTTGAAAATCTTAAAAGGACACGTCTTACTTGCTTAAAAACATTCCAATTTGACTCAGGAATCACAAGTCAACCTGGACTGGACGAGGCTGAGTTCATGCTTCAGAATATTGCTTTAGTTATGTGAACCGTAAATCAATGTCAGTCTCAGCTAGTTGCTCAATTTCAAGCTTTCCTTATACTCTTCAATCCAAACAACCTCAAATGATGTTTATCAAGTAACAACATCAAGAGCAGCTGTGGGAAAAGCTCATTAAGGTTTTCCATGAGCTGCTGTTCCATATTTTCATGTGAACCTCTGAAAGAAGTCCAATTGTGGAGATCTTTTTTTTTGGATAAGTTCCAATTGTGGAGATCTGTAATACAAATAGTACAGCAAGGATATTGCTAAATCATCAGAAAAAAAAAAAAAAATTGTCTATACTTTAGGGTTTCCATGTGTCAGGCAAGTACAAGGGTAAATAAATAACCTAACATGAAAGGGAGTGGTGATCTGTGGTTTTATGAATTGAATGGGTCCCTATTGAAAAGAAAGTGACATTATTATTATCTCTATACTTTAGGGTTTCCATGTGTCAGGTAAGTACAAGGGTACATAAATAACCTAACATGAAAGGGAGTGGTGGTCCATGGTTTTATGAATTGAATGGGTCCCTATTGGAAAGAAAGTGACATTATCATTATGCAAACAGATAACAAACATGCATAAATTACTAGTCATATGAAACATTACACATGGATGCAAATCAATAAATGATGCATCCCGAAACCCCAAACTAGCATTGGAATTCGGAAGCTCCATTGTATTCAAATAACATATCGTTAGAAAACTAGGATGTGGAAGCCTTAGCTGCAGAACTCATGTACTCCAGTAGCATCGTTATTACAAGAATTAATGCTTACAGTAATTCCACACTACCTCTAGTAGCAATACAGGTTAACAATGAACTTTGAAACCATCCTCGATGCTGATCTGATCCTTCAAGATACAAATCTGCAGGGCAGTTAAGGCCATCTCGTTTCTCCAACACAGCAGCCCACGAGGACCCTAATATTGCAAGAGCCATATGCACAATGTCACATCCGTATATTATTAATTCATTGTCAATAAGCATTTTGGCTAAGTGAAAAGGATTCTTTTTGAATTAGAGGGGACACAATGCAGAAGCAGAATAACAACATAAAATCCAGTAAAACAAAAGAATAACCACATCAACACTCAGCAATATATCATAAATAACAAAAAACGAAAAGAAATACTTATATTCAAAAGGAAAAAGAAGGATATATATAAAGCAGGCATTCTTCAAGAATCAAAATATTCTGTTTTACGTTTTAATGACACTCCCAAATTTAGGAAATTAAAAAAAAAGTTCGAAAAAGCAGTTTAACTTGTCTATCAAGGCTTGAGAACCTGGTTCTTTAGCTACCAAACCTCCTAACAAGGTGGTACTGCCATTCCAGATCCTAGTTATGGGAAGTTAGATAGCGTTCCTGCAATGGGAACTAATGTTCAAGGACCAAAGCTTGTAAGTATCAAGCTTTTGATAATAACATTTCTTAAAAGATAACCATTTAACCTCTTCTTGCAAGAAAATTATCCTCTTGACATGACTAAAGACTGTTTGAAATGACTAAAGACTGTTTGAAATCACAATTGTTAAGAACTATCAAAGTTACCTCCAAAATAGATTATTTCACACATATAACATAATTTTTAATTCTAAATAAAGAACCATAAACAAAGTCAATATATGCGTGTGTGTGCTCTATCCAACATATGTTGTAAAAAAAGACATCAATGGATTGTTTTAAATCTCAGTGACCCATGTCTAACTCCCCCAAGCTACTTGGACCAAGCAGGGGTGCCACGTCCAGTTTGAAAACCTCAAGACTTGCCCGAGTATCACCAGGTTGGGTACCCTAGTTCAATATTTTTTCTCAGAGACTCAATTGAGTCTTTGTGAGACTCGGGCTCATGACCTTGGTGAGTCCTGATTGAGTCCAAATTGTAAATCACTGCATGAAAGTATACAATTCACTTAGTACTAAAATTCAACACAAAGTATGACATTCTGCATGAATTTCAACAATTTATGTAAGTGGTCTATAGTCAACTTTAACGTGAATAAACCAGATTTGTATAGTGTGATGTCCAAAAGCATAGCAGTTGCCTATCAAAAAATTTAAAGAATTCCAAGAACATAATTGCAGCATGTGACACCATCATAACGAAAATTCTCAAAGTGGGTGGCATGTGACAAAAGTAGTAGCAGAAAGACACACCAGAGTCAAACCAAACATCCATTGTATCTGTTCCTTTTTGGTAATCAGCAGCCACTTTGTGATATGCCTCTGGAAGTAGTTCCTCTGTAGTCATGTACCACCAAGCATCACTACCCTTTTCCAATATGATAGCTGCAGTGTAAGAAAAACCCTTCATTAATGACACAGAAATAGGATACCAGTTTTGAAACATCTAAAAAGTCATGTAAAAGAACAAACTCTGGATATCTGGCCTTTTAGCCGTGTGGTTAGGTCAAAAGGGGTACAACATTATGGTCTAAAGTTCGAATTCTAATTTACCCACCCGATAAGATTCAGAACTAGAATTACAGTGCTTCCAGATAAACAAACTCTATGAGACAGTTACTTGCCCAGATCAGTAGATCAGAGAATAGCGGAAATTTGCTTTTCAAGAATCAAAACATAGACAGTTACAAACTTAAAGAAACATTCAGTTATCTTAATGTGAATCAAAAAAAAAAAAGGAAGAAAAAACACCAAGATATTCCTGGCATTGACAGAACATATTCCAAACCAACTAGTTTAATATGCGAAGCACAAAGAAAACAACTAGGGGGCACAGAACATGACTCCCAAGAAATCATGATGCACTCCTAGTACAGATCGGGATTCCAAAATATAGAAATCAAGATCCCTTTCCAGGAGGGCAGGAGCAAGATCCCCGAGCAGGATTGCCACCTATTTGGAAGATCCTGTAACAGTGGCATTAACAGAGTAAGAGGCATGCTCTCTGCTAGCAATATGAATAACCAAATTTAATCATCACATAGAAAATTCAAACTTTATTTTTTTGCTAAACTGAAACTGAAACCTCAAATAAGTAAAATCAATAAGCTTAATAGCAGAGGGAACAACGTAACTTGCTACAAATGCTCCTTTCCTTATTCCTTGGTGAGAGCCAGTCTCACCCTCCCTAAGTTCCCAGCCCCATGATGTCCATGATGTTTTCAATTTTTTAAAACAAGGACCTCAGCTCGGACTTATTAGGGTCAGGAGCCTGAGTCATCCACTGATTCAGCCAAGTCAGCATTCAGTCTAGGACAAGTCTCTGGATATTTTACAAGGGGGGACCAGGACTTGGTGAGACTCACCAGAGTTTCAATCTTTTTTATCCAGACCCACCCTGTCAAGTCCTTGTGATTGAAGCAAGTCCAAGTCACCATTTTTTTAAAGACTAGATGCTTCCATTGTCTTTCCCGGTAACTACGTGAGCACAAATCAAACACATAAACAACAAAACTCCACAACAAGGAACTAACTTTGTGCACAAACTGAAACATGTAAAAAAGCATCAACCTGTGTACAGCAGGATTCAGGACCGATCTCGCACGAGAGCAGGACATAAATCCGCTCTTCATGAGTTATTTAAGAGATGGATGGGGTCATGTGGAATTCCGACCCAAAGGTGACCGGATCTCTACCAAGAGATCAGATCCTCTTTAGGTCGTCGGCAATACCAGCTTGTAAATCTTATCAAAGTTCGGAAATCAATGAGAAAACTCAAAAAATGAATAAACAACGCATATACTACCCTAAACATGCATAAACTTTTAAAAATATATGAAGGAAATAAGCTAAATGCAGAGAAATAAAACTTACAACCAGCCAGGTCTTCCGGCCCGGCACCCAAAGTAGGAGGCCTCGATCAGAGGTTATGTTGATTGAAAGAACACCCTTTTGCTGAAATGAATGACTAGATCTTGAACTTTGAATATATGAGTTAAACGACTTATGAAAGTCTACGGTTTTTTATGCTCTAAGTGATAAAGAAAGGATGGTTTTCTTCTCTGGAATGGGTGGCCATGGCTGCCGGGATTTTTGGGTTTGTAAGCTAAGGTCAAGGTTTTCTACAGACTAGTGTTAGGGTTAGGCAATTATGGTTTCCTCTCAAAAATGTATCGGTTCCGCTGTAGGGGTTGAAATTGAAGGTTTTTATAGACAAAAATGACCTAGAAATGTGGAAGGCGGTTGTCTGGACCTAGAGTTCATAGTTGTTCGCTCCACAACTTCCGGTGCAAATCCGATGACTTTCGCATCGTGAATCCCGGCGAGACCGGCTACCAACCTAGTTCCGCATAAATTTCTTCGGGATTTTGATCTTGATGGTTAATACTTGCCAATATGATCCAAAGTTACGCGGTTTTGCATTTCTCATCATGTCACCCTTCCATATTGTTCATAAACTTCCCATTTTTGGTCTCCTAAAAATGGGTTTTTCCTGGGATCTTAGGTAATCTAAGGGGTATTCTAGGCTGGATTATCTTCTGGACATAACTATGGTTTAGTGTGCCCTATGGTGTGCTTAGGCTGGTGTGGTCCCTAGGGCTAATCTAAGGCTTCTACTATGTATTTGAGGGCTATTTCCCATGCTTTGAGACATAGAATAAAAGAAAATGTCAATTCCAAAAATGGGGTGTCTACACAACCTAATATATATATACATCACAATGCTTCTCAACATTTGAAATGGATGGTATCCTTCTCAATATCTCATGCAGATGGAAGCCATCCATTTATCACTATAATAAAACTAAGCTCAATCTAGAACACTATTTTAAAGTTACAACTAAACCTAAAGTGCAAAACATCACAAGTTATGATCATGATAAGCCACAATACCAAAATAAGGCTTCAGTATACCAACTACTTACACTTAATATGGTCAATGGTTTCTTTATTCATCAGTGGTTCCCTCGATTGTACATGATAGAAACAAGGAATAGGCACACCCCATGATCTTTGCCGTGAAATACACCAATCAGCCCGCGTGGATGCCATTGCAGCAATTCTATTTTTCCCCTGTGCAATATTAAATATATTCGCAATCAGCTATGAAAGCACTCAAAAGTATGGAAATAAGACAAAAATGAGCAACAAGTCAAGACAGCTCTCAGCTATATCTGTGGAGATGAAAACATTCTAAATTATACGAGCAATGAAAAGATCACATATGATATGCATCATTATGCACTAGATATATTGCCAAATTATTATGTTTATAGTATGAGATATATTAATCATTTTGCAAACTTAAGAAAAAGGATGGTACCATAGAAAATAGACACTTCTCTTCCAGGTGCATGTACTTGTGGGTGTGTCAACATCAACAACCACATACAGCAGTGGTTGTTTGTGCTAGTAATGAAAAATGGAGAAAGCTAGCCAGATTCCCAGCGGAATACAGATTCACATCAACACAGGTCTTCACTCTGCATTTATTTATGCTCATGAATGTTTTCAGCAGTTCGATGAATTTTTTTGAAGATGATGTATCATAATATGAGCCTAGGACAACACCATCGATCAAGTTACCGGCTCTAAAAGGGGTAGGAGAAGGCCCTAAAGGACATGGATGAAAGTAGTGAAAATAGATATGGTGATTTATGGTCTGATTGAGGGTATAGCCCTTGATAGAGAGGAAAGGCAGAATAGGATTCATATAGCCAACCCTAGATAGTTGGGATAAGGCTCGGATGATGATGATGATGTGTCATAACATGAGCATACACATACATAGGACCCACATTGTAGTTCAATATGGAGAGTACCATGGGACCGAAGCCCATAAAAACTAGATCAAATCCTGAAATATGAAGCCCAAGACTGTCAGATCAATGGATTGGATCTACATTGCAGAAACCACACATTCAACTGATTTTCATCTATTTCATATTTTAAGTTTATGTTTAAGATAAAAAAATATCAAATTATCGATAAATCACTGTTGTAGTATCATAAACCTGTAAAAGCTATAGTCCCAACAAAATCTGTAACTCGTTGCAGCATGTAAACCTAGATTCTACAGTGACCCCGATCAAACCGATCAATTTTAACTTCATAGAAGAAAGAAACTAGAAAAAGTTAAGTCCCATATCAGTCTACATTCAAGTTCTGCTCCTCTCATCAAAGGCAAGAAAAAGCATCAATTAGATGATGTTTCATGCGGAATAATTCATCAACATTTAAGCATGTCAGTCACCATGTATTATCAAGGCAAATAAATTCAGGTTAAATCATTTCCAATCTATCCATGAAATATCTACAAACTTCAACTCAAGTAACAGATCTTAATCTTCCTAGTTGGGTCCTCACTCAACAAATCTACTAATACTCAACTAGGCCCAGGCGTACTTCTGATAGCAATGAAGATACTCTTGAAAATTCATTTTTCCAAAGAAATGCAAAAAGGAGGAACTACTGGAGATTAAAAGCCAGGAATCGGCATAAACATACCAGGGTCCTGAGCCTGTGTCAGAAGCTCACTTGGTCAAGTCTCAACAGAAAATACATAAAATCCAGTGACCCAGGTGAATCCAAGAGTAACTATTTTTTAACACAGGAAAATATCCTCATAAAACAATGAAAAATTACAATATACCCTTCCTAACTCCCTAAATTTAGGCACGTCATGGACAACAATCAAATGTCCAAAACAAAATGGAAATAACATAATACACAGGTGCACAACACGAATCCCCCACAGTAAAGTGGACACATACACAATAAGTTAGCCACCTGATTATGAAATACTTACAAATAATAGAAGGCAACAGAAACAGTTTCAAATTATAGAAGGCAACCGAGACTCATACATATAAACAATTTGAACAAGGTGCAGCACTGTCGAGCATAATACTTGAGAAACCAAAATACATGCTCTAAACAGGGATTGCCATCATCATCATCATAATAATAATAATTATAATATTATTATTACTACTACTACTACTACTACTGCTACTACTACTAATATTACTACTAATACTCCTACTGTTGTTGTTTTTAGGCCATCATATTCACTATGGTACAATCATACCAATTGAAAGATCTATTCAATTTGCTGATAAGTTTCCTGATATTATTCTAGACAAAACAGAATTACAAAGATTTTTAGGATGTTTAAATTACATAGTAGACTTTTATGAGAATTTAGCGATAGATGCTAGACCTTTATATGAAAGACTAAAAAAGAATCCTCCTAGGTGGACGGATGAACATACTCAGGCTGTAAAGAAAATAAAACTCAAGGCTAAAGAATTACCTTGTTTAAATTTAGCCAATCCTAATGCTTTTAAAATCATAGAATGTGATGCTTCTGAATTAAGTCTAGGTGGTATCTTAAAACAACGTCTTCATTCTACAGAACAATTAGTACGTTACACTTCTAAAACTTGGAACTCTACTCAACAAAATTATTCGACTGTTAAAAAAAAAATACTTTCGATTGTTCATTGTGTTACTAAATTTCAAAGTGATATTCTTAATACTCATTTTCTTATTAGAACAAATTGCAAAGCCGCCACTGATATTCTCACTAAGGATGTGCAAAACCTTGTCTCTAAGCAAATCTTTGCTCGATGGCAAGCGATCTTATCATCCTTTGATTTTTCCATTGAACACCTGAAAGGTGCTACTAACCATCTCCCTGATTTTCTTACTCGTGAATTTTTGCAGGGGGGGCAACACTGATCATTTTGATCCACCAGCTCTGTCTTTTCCACTAACTCTGTTTTATGCAAATATGAATACCAATAAAAATAGTAATACTTCTACTTCTGAACAAAGGGGAAAAGCCCTTTTGAAAACCTCGTTGGATATCATTCCAGCAAATATTACCCAATCACCAATAAGAATGGAACCTGCTTTGTCACCGAGTAATAGTCCCATTTCTTATTCCCCAAATATCAACTACCCAGCTTATTCAAGCCAACCTCCAGCTCCAATTTTTCAGATATCTACACCCACACCAAAAAAACCAACTTTACCGGGAAAATCTCAATATCTTGAAACCTACTTTGTTGTTGATGCAATCATTGAAACAAAACATGTGTTTGAAAACCCAAATACTGTTGCCAAGTACTACTTGTGCAATAACCTCTGTCTATCTGTTGGTAACAAAACAAAGGAATGGTATGAAATGATTCTGTTAGAAACTGAATCCATTTCCTCAATACATTATGATCAGAAGAATTAAAAAATAATAGCTTATTCAAAATTGCAAATAAGAAAGGTATATCTTTTGAAGATTGGGGATCAGACCCTTCCAAAGCAAAGAGATTATATTCCCCAGAATTCCCAAATAAATATTACAGACACGCTGATTACATTGATGCCTGGCATAAGATATTGACACTCCAAAACCCATATAATTCGCACACTTGGCTCATACAGTTCGAAACACCTGTGACTACTCCATTTCCAAACTGGTTCCGTAATTGATTTGCGACATGGGGATCTTTAACCCAAATACTACCTGAACCTTCGCAACTTTTTCAAAATCGTTTTATTGAATACAATGGGAGTGATCCCAATATAGATTATCATTTATATTTAATTGCAATGTATCAGATACCATGGATTGTTAAATAGAATTTTGTGATATCCCCAAATATTACCAATAATTTTAAATATATTTCATGTTTAGGCAAACAAATTGGCATCAAATGGTGGGACGTCTTTGTCTACCAAAATATTGAACCAGACTATATTCAACTGAAACAAATCCCTTTAGCTTATAACTCACACTCATACTCTAACCCAAATAGTCTGGCAGAATATATTACCATGATGAAAAAACAAAATCCTAAAGCCACTAAGGAAGAATTAGAAAAACAATTAATGAACATGTTTGAAGAAGAGGCAGAAACTGCCCAAGTTCATGATACATCTGGCACAACCAGCATTCCTGAAATAGAAGTACCTCCTGATACACCAGACCAATCAGGGCATGGAATGTCCCAGAAGCATACTCTGTATTAACCTACCCAATCTCAAATGTACATAGCGAAAATTCTCCCTTATCTCTAATAGTATAACTAAAAGCAAAGCAGATGTGACCCAGATGTGACCCAAAGCTAAGATGCTCTAGCCACCAACAATCTACAGTAAAGATGCTCGAACCACGGACAAAGCCACCTGTCTCCACTAACATCAGAAAGATTCCACCTGTCTCCACGATCACCCAATAGATGCTCCAACCATCTCATCAACCTGCCTTTCACAACCAAAGGAAGATTCCCGAAGATAAGGACGAATGATCCTCTACAATCATGACCAACCACGTGTCAACCACTTGGCACCCACCTATATCTCTTCTCTATAAATAGAAGAAACCTCCTCAGTTCAAGACAGGGAAAATTCAGAGATCAGCTTCTCTTCTCAGAGATCAGCCTCTCTTCTCATCTCTTCCCATTTCTCTTCTTCTCTTCAAAAAAACTGTCTGTGTGATTGTAACGTCAAAACCTCACCAGATTATTACCCAGACGAGTGGAAACTATTTTGCAGTTACTGTATCTGCACTCTGTAAGTTTTGTTTTATAAGTCGTTTTGATTTTTATAGTTGATGTATATGAGTTTGTAACAGTTAGTTAAATTTGAGCTTGTAACAGTTAGTTAAATTTGAGTTTGTAACAGTTAGTTAAGTTTCAGTTTGTAACAGTTAGTTAAGTTTGAGTTTGTAACAGTTAGTTAAGTTTGAGTTCAGGTTTGTTACAGATAATTGTTGTTACTCTTTTCATAAGATTGTAATAAACAGTTGTTATGATAATACGTACAGTACTTAGCATAAAGCTTTATCAAACTACGTATTATACCTGGATTACTATTGATATTACTCCTGTATCTCTCTTACTCATCTTAATTATAGGTTTATATTTTGGTTATTTGCGCATGATTTAGGGCTATAATCGGACTATTCTAAAAAGGTAGATCTTGCGGCGAAATTGGTATCCAAGCCAGACCACACCTTCTTTAAATAGTATCCAACAGAGTAATACTACTTGGATTACTACTTTAGGAGA